GGGGCCTTAGACTTATTGAGCTTAAGTGCTAGGCATCTGGTGCTCCAGGGCCAACCCTCAACAGTGAGAGAAAGAGTTATCCAAAAGCTATTCCATGGCTGGGTGCTGTTAGCTCATGCCTGTAATCCTAGCTTCTCAGGAGACTGAGATCTGAGGATCACAATGCAAAGCCAGCCCCAACAGGAAAGGCTGCAAGACTCTTATCTCTAATTAGCTACCAGAAAACCCACTATGGCTTAAAGTGATAGATTGCTATTATTGAGTAAAAGAGCTCAGAGATAGCACCCAGACTCTGAGTTCAATCAATCCCCACAACTGGCACAAAAAAAAAAAAAAAACTCTTCCATCTCCACCTTCTCCATGGAAGAATCATTCTGAAGCACCTACCAAGTTAGAATCTGTTTACTCATAATGATAACCTGCTTGTTAATATATTCTATTGATTTTTATTCCTTTCTTGTATGAACTTTCCCATTCACTGGTGCATCCAAGTCTTTTTATTTTCATAGTTTGATTTTCAGAGAACCTGAACTTACCCTTGTTTCAAATTGCTATACAAATAAATTTTCTTCATTCACTTGAAAAACTGTGATCTAGACATGAAATTCAATGGGTCACATTATTAGTGATTTTAATGTTTATCGTACATATACTATAAATATGTATTACAAGATCACTGGATCTTAAGTTTATGATAGTAGCCACCATCACTTATTCTTGTGTGTCTTTCTAGAGTCTTAATACATTCCAGTGCGTTCAATGTCTTTTCTTTTTTTGATTTTCAGTGCTAAAGATTAAACCTGAGGCTTTCTCCATCCTAAACAAGTGCTCTACTATGGGGCTGTATTCTATTCCTACCCCCAAGGAGTGTTTCTTGACTGATCATTGTTATTTTTAGACTTCACATATAGTATAGAGTGATAGATACAAAAATCAACATCTAAAGCATATATGTTTTGGCACCTGCGGCTCACACCTGTAATCCTAGCTACTGAGGAGGCTGAGATCTGAGGATTGCAGTTAGAAAGCCTATGAGATTCTTATCTCCAGTTAACCACCAAAAATCCAGAAATGGAGTTGTGGCTCAAGTTACAGGGTGCTAGCCTTGTGCTAGTCCTAGTGCCCAGGCCCCAGGCTCTAGGACTAGCACATGCACAAAAAAGCATAGGTAGATAATTTGCACATTTTAGGACTAATAAATTTAACAAGCATTTGCATTCCTCCAATACAAGATGGACAAAAGCATGTAAGTTATAAAGTCAGAATGTGGGAAGTTAATATGAGAGGCAGTCAACACTGTCTAGTGTTTGATTAAGTACAAACCATGACTTTATACAAATAAGCAGTTTCTTATTTCAGAGAGTGGTAGGATAAGGAGAGTAGCTTCTAGAGTTAGCAATTATTGAGACAGGCCTTGCGAGAGTGGTAGGATTTAAATAGATGGAAAAGGGAAGGCTGTTGCAGTTGGCATACAGGCTGAGCCATCGGTGGCGATGGAGATCAGATGAGCAGCATTAGCAGGGAGAAGCAGAGGGTTCTGATGTATGTGGATCTGATGCATGAGGAAGAAATGGCCTGGCTGTGGGTTTTCTCCCACTAAGTCACAAATAAGTAGTGGAGAGCTTTTAAAACCCAAGGGACTTGGACTTTGTTACTGAAAGGGAGTTTTGAAGGACTTTTGAGTATAAACTATAAATAACTAAGTAATGATTGAATTGAAGAGGATGAATTTGGCATGTTGCACAGAAATGAGCTGGGATGGAATGAGGCTGACAGTTGAGAAACCCAGTACAATTTGCTTCTGGATTCTCCAGAACTCTTAAGATTTCTGTTTAAACAAACATTTTTCTCTTTGAGATAATGTGCTAAGATCACTTCTATTCATCATCAGACTTCTTTTAGGCCATACTATTTGACTCACCTCTAAGCAACTAACTGATTACAGTTTATTCCTCCTAGAATACTGAGAAGGTGATAGGATAGAATGATTTTAGTCTAGTTTGTATTTTAAGGTTTTGCTCAATTTTATTATTGGTAGTAGCAATAGTATTGTGGTGGTACTAAAGACTGAACTCAGAACCTCACAAAGCACTCTATCACATGTCCTCTGGCTTTTAGTTTGTTTTCGGGTAGGGGCTCAAGCTTTTGCTGGGACCAGCCTTAGGTAGTGACCTGTCTCCACCATCTCTTAAGTAGCTGAGATTACAGTTCTGTGCTACTGCATTTGGAAGGTTTTGCTCAATTTAAAGTTTTTGTATTGACATTAAAATAGCTATGAAGATGACTTAGATTGTGTGTTCTTACAAATTTTTATCAGAACATCGTTGTCATTCTGAATTTTCCTATATTACATATTGCTAAATTTTGGAGGATTTTGTTACTCATAAAACAAAAAATGATTTTTTTCCATGTAAAATGGGAAAGTCAGTAAAAAAAATTTAAAGTTCACATTTAAAGAATACTTTTATGCAAATATAATGGTACACATATGAACTTTGGAGAATCATGAACCCAGTTACTTCTTAGGAATATATTAGGTGTGTTTGTTTATGTGAACACTGGTCCTGGGACTTGAATTCTGGACCTGGGCTCTGTCCCTGAGCATTTTGCTCAAGGCTAGTGCTCTACCACTTGAGGCTACAACTCCGCTTCCGGATATTGGGTGGTTAATTGGAGATAAGACTCTCACAGACTTTCCCGTCTGGGCTGGCTTCTAACTGTCATCCTCAGTTCCTAGCCTCTTGAGTAGCTAGGATTACAGGCCTGAGCTACTAGTGCCTAGCTAGGAATATATTAGTATTTTTAATGGAACCTTTTACCAAATAATTAGAACTAGGTCATATTCAAATTGGGAGTGTTTTAGAAGGAATCATTTTCTTATACCAGTGTTTTGTTTCTTCCATCTTCAAGTCTTTTGGTTTAGAAATATAAAGGTTTATGTTTTCTTTAATTTTTGTGTCTCTGTTTTGCCTTTTACTCAAAAAACATGGAGTGCATTTTCTAAGATTGGCAGTGTTAGGTTCTGGGACAGGAAAACAGCTCCTACTAAGGTCACCTTAGGGTGACTGTTGTCAGGTAGGGGCAAGACTAATGAATGAGGAGTTACAGTTTTTCAATCAACTCCTAACAGGATATGGTAAGGTAGACAATATTAGGATGATGGGGCAAGGAAAGAAAAGAGCCAGGGGTGCTTTAAAGAAAGTGTTACCTAGGCTGGGAAGGTAGCTTAGTGGTAGAGTGCTTGCCTAGCATGCCTGCAGCCATTCCTCTCCTCAGTCCCATATAAACAGAAAGATCCGGAAGTGGAACTGTGGTTCAAGTGGGAGAGTGCTAGCCTTGAGTAAAATAATCTCAGGGACAGCGCCTAGGCCCTGAGTTCAAGCCCCGGAGGACTGGCAAGAAAAGAAAGAGTGATACCTGACTAGAACATGGTGGCTCATGTCTACAATTCCAGCTACTCCAAAAATTTAGTGAGACCTTTTTATCCCAGCCAACAAGCTGGAGATGCTGAGTTTAAAGCCCAGTACTAAGTGGGGGATGGGGGGGGAGATATGAAAGCTAAAGTAGGAGATGGAACGTTCCAGGGAAGCTTAAGCTCCTTACTGGGAAGATGAGTGGGGAAGAATAGAATCCCTGATGGCCATATCAATGAAAATTTCTTGAACTGTCTACTTGTTAGTATATGCCAGTAGTTTTTTTGTAGCCTTCAACTATGGATAAAGTAGAAAGGGAAAAGTAGAAAGGAAAATTCACTTTTCTTTAAAGACTAGAGCCTGAAGTGATGGTGAGAGCATGTATTTGTGCATTATAAACTGTACATTGTGATATGTAATCAGAGCAAATTAGAGCAAATATATAACTACAATCTTGCGTCCTCTTCCCTTGTGGGAATTTCAAATAACATAATCTTCCTCTGACCTTTTCGCCTAGTTTTATGAGCTCAGTCTCTTAAAAATAATTTTTTTTCTTTTCATATCCATGTCACAATGAAAAGTTGAGGCAAGCCCTAGCAATTGTTGATAATAGTTTGCATCTAGAAATTCAGACCTGGCCCATATTCATGGATCCAGTAGATATTCCTTAAATTTCTCTTAACACTTCCTTCAGTCCCTTCTATTTGTAATATGTATCATGTGTCCAGTTTGTTTCAGGCTCTGATCTGAGTACATAGTGGTGTTAGTTCCTACAACAGACAGAGATCCCAGACCTGGTAGAACTTAAATTTTAGCTGGGTGCCAGTGGCTCACACCTATTATCTTAGTTACTCAGGAGGCTTTTATCTAAGGATCACGGTTCAACTCTAGACCAGGAAGAACAATCCAAAAGACTTTTATTTCCAATTAACCAGCAAAAAGCCTGAACGATAGGCATGGCTCAAGTGGTAAATAAAGCTGTGAGTGAAAAAGCAGAATAAGACTATGAGGTCCCGAGCTCAAGTTCCAGTTTCAAAAAAGTACTTACATTTTAGTAATAGAATCACTCTGTTTTATTTCTTCCATGTGGACAAAAGATTTGTTAAGATTATACTGCTATCTAAGTACTAAGTTTCTTTAGTGTGCCTCCAGTAGACACCAGAGGGAGGAAGACATTTTTCATTCCAAGAGAAAAAAAGATTGTTTGGTAGCTAAGGTTTTATAAAGATAGACCAGTATGATGTGGCATATTTCTCAAGTTTATCTTGTAAAGGATGAAAGCTTGAAGATACTAAAAATATGGTGGTTTCAGAGACAGATAAGTGGGTGAAAGGAGGAATATTTAAAGACAAGTTATTTGAAGCTTGCCTTGCCTTGTTATGTTAGTGAGGAGAGACGGAGAAGGCAGCCACTAAATGACTAAGGCCTCAATTATAGCTTGGATGTACTTTAAATAGACCATAGAGGCATAGTAAGAAAGCAAAAGGACTAAATAGGAATTCTGTTATGGCACTAAAAACCCTATTTATTAAACCAGCAATGATTTAAAATAGACTATTTTCAGGTTTATTTCTTGTTAACTTACAGATGTTGTGCCTGCTTCCTCTGAAAAAAGCCCATCTTTGCGAACAAATTTGGACAAGAGATCAGACAATATCATTACAGATACTCTAACAGTAAACTCCTTGAAGACACCTCAGGAAAATCAGACAGCCACAGAAAGTTTTGAAACACTGACAACTTTACCAGCGTTTTGGCCATCAAGTAAAGAGGAAGTCATCAGCCCCAATTTAAGGACATCAAAGTCAGATTCTACTTTCTTTCACCAGTCCTCTGTAGAGACACTTTATGCCTCTCCCTCTTTCAAAACATTTAGCCCAGTAAAGGAGATTGAATTCAGTAAAGACCTTCACAAATCAGCACAAGCCAGTACTGTGCAAGTGGAGGAGGAACCCCTCAGGACCTTGGCCACATGTGGTAAGTTTACCCCAAACCCAACCAACCTAACAAGTAGAAACACACTATTGTAAGCATTCCTCTTTTACTGTTAGCTAATTTCTGTCTCCCTTGTTTTGTCACCTCTTTTTCACTCCTCATCAGTGGTATTAAAGTGTACATACCACAGTGGTACTTCTCAATCAGGAAATTGCCCTTTTTATTAAAGAACTAATGGATAATTTCTCATTGTGCATTACCAAATACTTGACTGAATATATTACAATAAGTTCTAAGTAATTTTTGTGCTAACCAAAATATAAAACCTAACATCAACTTAAAAGCTTCCAATTAGACATTTAGCTTACTTACTAAGAAACTATATGGAACCAGGCACTGGTAGCTCACGCATATAATCCTAGCAACTCAGGAGGCTGAGAACTGAAGATCACAGTTCAAAGCCACCCTGGGCTGGAAAGTCCATAAGACTCTTTTAAAAAAAAAATTGTGAAAATACCATACAGAGGGGTTACAATTACATGGGCAAGGTAATGAGTACATTTCTTATCAAGTATTGTTGCCTCCTCCTTTGTTTCCCTTTCCTATCCCTTCCCATCTCCCACCCCTTCCATTCCCCCACTCCCCCACCCCCCACCTCCGGCCAAAGTTCGTAAGACTCTTATCTCCAATTAACCACCAGAAAACTGGAAGTGGTGCTATAGCTCGAATGGTAGCGCCCTCTCCTTGAACTGAAGAGCTGAGGGACAGTGCCCAGGCCCAGAGTTCAAGCCCTACAATGGAAGGAAGGAAACCAAAAGAAAAGAAAGAAAAGAAACTATATGGAAAAGAATTTGTTATTATGTATGTTGATTTCCTCATACAAGTATATGGACTTTTTTGTAGGGGCAGTACTGGGGTTTGAACTCAGGGCCTTGTGCTTGTTAGGCAAGTGCTCTTTGCTCTATCATTTTGGTCATACCCCTCACCCAACCCTGCTTTTTCTCAGGTAGAGTCTTTTGTTTATGCACAGACTAGCTTAGACCTCAGTCCTTCCATTTATATTTACCAGATAGCTAAAATGACAGGCATACAGGCATACTTCCAAGATTTTTTTGATTGAGATGGAGTCTCATGAACTTTTTATCCAAGCCTTGAACACTCTGCCTCTCCACTAGCCAGGATTACAAGGATAAGCCACTGTGCCAACCACTGCACTAACATTAAGAGGGGTGGACATACCTGTAGTCTCAGCACTCAGGAGGCTGAGGCAGAGAATCACAAGTTTGAGGCCAGTAAAGGTTATGTATTAAGACCTGTTTCAATAAGCAAAAACCAAAACAATTATTAAGAACAATGCAATATTGTTTAGATTGTGATAAAGGACAAAGCCAATAGGGATTCCAGGTTGTTGGCTGTCAATATTTCAATCTTACATTATAATTATGTATTCTTACTTAAAGTTAATTAGTAAAAGAGAATAATTTGTTTGCTCATGCATTTTTCAAAGACCCAAGTAGTAGTTTTATTGGTTCTCCAATATGATAATGCTTACCAACTCATATAAATTCAAAGTTTTCAATATGAATCTTTTAAATTGTCTCAAACACAAATTATAAGTATATATGAAAACAAACAATGGAAACCACTATGTTGAGGTTAGTTTGAAAGGACAAAGAATAATAAAGATTCTCTCCCTACTGTTTGGTGAACTTTTGGGTGCTGAATAAAGATAGTAAAAGCCTCCTCTTAGTTTTGTTACCAAATTAACTTTATACTGAGACCAGTTGTACTGTCCTGATGGCTGGGAGATAATTAAAAACATGTGTTAGCCACTGACTCTGTACCAAGTACAGTTAATACAATTTAGCAAGGTTAATAAATTTCAGCAAGAAGTCCCTCTAAGATAACTACTATTAAGTTGTTAAAACCTGGTTTAAATTGTCATAAGATACCCAAGGTAAAAAAATAATAATGGGTCAAATCCCAAGAAAAAGTATGTTGAAATGCGTCCCACCTTCACTTCTACTCTTGAATCAGAGGCCTAGGTTTTCCAGCTACTATGATGCAAAGTCTCCCAGTCTCAGTGTACTTTGGAGACAGATTGGAGTTTGAGACGTCTCAAGTGTCAGGGACTCAAAGGGCCAGTGTTCTAGAGGACAGGTAATTACAAAGAAGAAATCCTGAGATTGTTGTGTAATTGTCTCTGGTGAGTCTGCAGTGTTCTGGATTATACCAAAGACTGAATGTGAAACAACTACTAAGAAACCAAGCTAAGCAGAGATTCCTGATAATCTTGTGATGCTTTAGAGTTCAAGATAAGACAGATTGGAATGGTCCCAATAAATGATCCATGTTTATAATTAGAAAATCTAGTAGGCTATATACAAAGCTCAAAACTACAGTGTAGGACTAAGAATGAACCAGAAATAGTTCATCCCTCACACATACTGAAATCTGTCTTCACCTCAAACAAAATGAGTTACTTGTATTCTATTTGCTGTCTAGAAGAAAAATCTTTTTGTGAGAGCATCCATCAACTTTTTATGAGAATTTTTTTGTCATTCAACAAAAAAATATACCAGGAAATGAACAAATGGCCAGACATATAGTTGGGGGCAGGCAGATAATAGGAACAGATCCACAGATAATCTAGACTCTAAAGTTATATGGCAGATACGTTGAAATAATTGTGATTAATATGATCAAGAACACAGGTAAACTGGGTGCCAGTGGCTCATGCCTGTTATTCTATGCTACTCAAAAGGCTGAAATCTAAGGATCACGGTTCAAAGCAGGAAAGTCTATGAAACTCTTATCTCTAGTTAACTAGCAAAAAGGCAGAAGGAGATCTGTGGCTGCCATGGTAGTCTTTAATAACCTTGAGTAAAGAAAGCTCAGGACAACACACAAGCTCTGAGTTTAAGCCCTAATATGGAGGAAGAGAAGGAAAAAGAGGGAGGAGGAGGAGGTAGAGAAGAGGAGGAAGAGGAAAAAAGGAACAGTTTTGCCATATTACTAGTATTTAGGTTTTTAAAAATAAAAACCCGAAAGTGGCACTGTGGCTCAAGAGGTAGAGCACTTGCCTTGAGCTGAAGAGCGCAGGGACAGTGCCCAAGCCCAGAGTTCAAGCCCCATGACCAACAAAATAATAATAATAATAAAGCCAAGTGAAAATTTTAGACAGTCTTTGAAATTAAGACCCTGACAGTCCTCTTCAGCCTGAATGGCCTACAGCATTAGAAAGAAAGAGATTTGGTGCTCACGGGAAAGCTACAGAGTTAGGAAAGAAATCCTAAAAGAGACAAAGATGCAGAAAGGTGAATTAAACCCATAATGATAAATAAACTCTGCCCAAGTCCTTGGGCCACACATGTGGAAACCCCAGGGAGTCCAACCACTCTCCCTACCCCAAATGAATATTCCCAGAAGCCAAAAGAACTGAGAAGACTTGAGCAAGGCTGATGATTTGGAAAGTCCATACAGTTGTCTTCCTACTAAAACAATAATCACTCTTCAGAAGACTATCACAAAATTGAGAGACTACAATAAATAGTTCAAACATATGGAATAAATTATCACTAGACCTTTAAAGAAACAGGAAAGCATAACTAAGTACAATGGCTTATACCTGTAATCCCACTGCTCAGGAGGTAGAAATTAGGAAGACCATGGATTGAGACCAACCTGGTCATAAAGTTCATGACATACTCACAGTCAATAAAACTGGGTGTGATAGGATGTTCCTGTGGTCCCAGCTCTTCGGGAGGCTGCAGGTAGGACTGTGGCCCCGGCATAAACATAGTGTTAGGTCCGAATAGCCACGTACCCTTGAGACCCCAAATCAGTACTTTGGTTTACAACCACTCCCCACCCTACCCTCTGTATCCTTGTCCAGCTGAAATCATGTGACTGGCAAGGGTCCAGAATTAACTGCAGTTGTAAACCAATTAGGGCAGAGAGATTCCCCCTTCCTCCCCACCTCCAGCTGTGATCCTTTATGCATGTTGTCTTTGTCCTGTTGTTGCTTTTGTACCAATACTCACCAAACAATTCTAGCATTCCCGTGACCCACTATAAAAAGTGCTAGTCCATAAAGGAAAGTGAGTCTCTAGCTCTGGCTGTAGTCTCCCCTTCACAGGTTTCCTCCCCAATAAATCTATGCTGATGTTGAGCTAGCTCTGTCAAGTCAATGCACCTTTTTGAACCTAATACACAAGACCCTACTAAACAAATAACCATAGCAAAAAATGGGCTGGAGGCATGGTTAAAGTGTTAGAAAACATCAGCTACAATGGAGATACAGTCAGCTAAGTGGATTTGTAAATGACCCAGGTGTTAAAATTAGCACACAAGTTCATAGACCAGCTAAATAGAAATGTATTCACAGATTTCACTAGACATGGAATGAATACATGCCTGTAATTCTAGCACCAGGGAGGCTGAGGCAGGAGGATGGCAAGTTCAAGGCCAGCCTAGGCTACACAGTGAAATCCTATATCATAAAAACAAATATACATGCATATATTTGTTACATATATTAAAATATGTGTGTATGCATATATACACAAAGAGGAGAATCTCTGCAGACAAAAAGTGTTCTCCAAGAACCAGAACCAAATGGAACTTCTGGAGATGAAAAGTGAAAATTTCACTGGGGGGGTTCTTACAGCAGATTGAAAATGAAAAAAGTGGGTAAGCAAATTTGAAGATACATTGATGGGAATTACCTGAAAAAATGGAAACAAAAAGATTTTGTAAATAAATAGTAATCTGACACTGGAGTAATAGGAATTTCAGAATTTCAGAAGCCTAGGAAAATTGATATGAGCAGAAAAATACTTTGAAAAGATAATGGTTAAAATCTCTCCAAGTGTATGGAGAATAAATAAACTTTCAGATCCAAAATGTTTAAGCAGAGTAAACAAAGAAAATTACTTATTCATATTGTAGTTGAACTCTTGAATTCCAGAGATAGAATTTTGAAGGTGGAATTTTTTGAATGGTTGTATTACATACAAAGAACAACCAACCTAAGTGTG